TCGCGTCAAAGACATCAAACCGCGCGGCGGCGCTTCGCCGGAGGATTGCTGCACCTAAGCTGCGCCCCGCGGGACAATCGCCGCCTCGGGCGACGCAATATTCCCAGCTCCCGGGCGCTCTGTTTGCCCAGAGGCGTTCCGCGCTCCCGTTCCCTTTCTGCGTTGGAGGTATTGTACGAGCGAGCGGCCGGTAACTGAGGGGCGTTGGGTCTTCCTCCGGAGGATTCTACAGCATTGGGCTGAGGTGTACATCAGAGTGAGGTGTAGGTGTATCCACGTATGATACGAGACGAACAATTCTGAATAACATTTTAAAATGTTATTATGGACTTTTAAGGCGGGAACATTTTAATAGGTTAACGTTTTTGACTACTGCTTAGGTAGTGTAGAGAAAGGATTGTAATGATGGGTCAAAAACGAAAAATTCTTGTCCTGAAAACTTTTTGGTGGATCCTTAATTGGGAAAAATTGATGACAAAACGTCTCTCCGTCCGTCCGTCCGTCCGTCTGTGAACAACGCTAGCGGCTGAACCGTTGGCAGGATTTTCACCGAAATTGATATTTTCCGTTCATTCTGACTGTTGAAAAGAATATTCTGATTTTAGGGGTACGTTTACACGAAGCTTCAACAACAATTTCATTATTTTCTCAAAAATTGCTCCAAAAATGTTTTTTTTCTTCTTCTGATAGAGCAAAAGTCATGCTGCAGGTACGATTTTTGTTGCACTCCTTGAATTTTTGATAAATGCAAACGTTCAGTTTTTTCTGCAATACAATAATGAAGATAAAATTGTTTTCCTAGAAGGCATCTGTTCATCAAAACATGTTCAATTAATGGCATGGTTCAATTTTCGAAAGTATTAGTTATATTTGCGTAATTTAGCGTATAACGTAAGCAATTTTTACATTTATATCAATTATTGTCTCAAAAATGGCTCCAATATTTTCTTTAAATTCATTTCTGGTATTTAGCAAAGAACGGTAACGAAAGTTGTTATATTTTATGTGCACTGTCTGTATTCTCAAAAATGGCAAAATTCGAAAGAACAAATTCGAATTTCACGTCTTTTGTTTGACGTGCTGTTTGCAAAATGCAAACGCGGCGTTATGAGCTTTGAAATTCTTATATTCTTCTCATTCTTGGCGGGCGACCGGAATAGAATGATAAGGTTTTTATTTATTTAACTTTAATGTTACAATGTCAAAAAAAGATTTAAGAAAGGTTAAAGATGAAAGTTAGCACTAACAATTTATCTTCTTTTACTTTAAAAAGATTTTATCGGTAATTACGGTATTCAAAAATTGGAAGCTCACTTCAATGTAATTAAGGCAAGCTTGTGTGAAATTATTCGGGGACGAGGAGAAATATTGTCTCTGCAAGAAAAGAGTCGCATCTCAAAAATGTTCTTTTGCAGGTACGGTTTGATCTTGAACAGAGCTATTTCAGATCAATTTAGAACATGAACAGTTTTGTAAACATAAGCCTTCTCTTAAACAATGAAAAAACAAATAAAAATAAAACTTTTTAGACGCGACTTTTTTCTTGTATACTGATGTGAATATGTATGATATAGCAACAATAGAAACTGTAATATTTTCATTTTCTTCATTCTTATACCTCTATGGGCGCGAAGTGTAATGTTCCAAACAGTTATCTCTCGAAAAGAAACCCAAGAAGAATATAATACTATACATCTGATTTAATATCTCTCATAATAATAATAATAATAATAATAACAATAATAATAATTAATAATAGTGATTTGGAAAATAAAATATATCTCAATTCTTTTTATTGGCCTGACTAATTTAAAATGATTTTATAGGCCTTCCATTTAAAGTTCGAGTCCTTCCTTTCATTCCTATTGCGTGAAGATCATCCAGAGTCCTACGAGATATTACGCCGGAGATTACGGAATGAAATCCGACACGTGACGAGTGTGCATGTGGGTGCGAAGTCGATGTGCGATAGTCGTAAGGCAATTGGTTTCGGCGTTTTACCAGCTTGTGGCTCGGCCCCAGTGACTCACCCGAAGGATTAGCACCCCGAGCGCCTCCAACGCCACCGCCGCCACCGCCGCCTTTCATTCTTCTGATCCAATGTTGTACTTGCGGATAGAGAATTCGGCCACGTGTCTCACGATGTAAAATACGAAGGGGACTGACAACTAGCTAGGGGGAGAGGATTTAATTCATTCTTACATTAATTATCTCTTTTGCTTTTCTTACATTACCGTTTTTACTTTCTCGCTACCGCTTACGCAGTAAACAAAACGTTATGTAATGTTGTGCGAAAAAGCGACGAATTTTCGGCAGAAAAACGGGGTCCCGGTAACGAAAAAGTAATGCTAAATTTAGCTAAAAATCTTCTAACACGTGTTATAGCCAGAATCCATGTTTCGAGGCTCTTTAATACCAAAACATCGAATGACGGCAAAACGTCTGTCTGTGGCCAACGCTAGAGGCTAGACCGTTCAGCCGATTTTCTCCAAAATTGATATTCCCCAACTGATGTCGCGTCCCCTTGAATTTAAAACAGATGTTTTAATTTCGTGGGGTGCTTAAATGAAGCCTCTAGGACATTTTCAACGTTTTAAAAAGAATGGCTCGATCGTTTTTTATTAAATTTTGTTGTTGGATAGTGAAAAGGGCGTTAAGAGAATGGTGCAGGTCTCATTTTCGTTGAAAACTATATATATTTTTGTTTTTGAATATTGCTTAAATTCAAATTTTTTTGGGCGTCTTCCTACAACTACAATTATAAAGATATCATTTTTCCCTTCATGAAATCTGTTCCTTAAAGATATATTCCCTTAGTTTCCTTAAAGATAAAGAATGAAAGAAAGAAACAAATTACGGGCGAGAAAGTACGTCCTATTTTAGCACAGCTACTTTCATTTTCTTTCTTTTTTATTTCCATACTTTTTTCTTCTTATTCCTTTTTTTTCAATTTCATCTATCCTACTTTATTTTGTACGTAATATCAAAAAATCGTAGTATTTGGTTAATGAAAAAGAACTCTCAAACACTCATTATGTATTATTTCCAGATCGTGACGGGAGCGGTGGAAAAAAAATTTATTGGATTGTGGAAATAAAGGTAAGCATTAAGCTTTCTAATTAATGCGATACTACATAATATTTAAAAAGAGTAATAAAATCCTACCACATCTAGAGTTTGAGGTGCAACCAGCAATTCTGTTGAAAATACCTAGTAAATGTGATTAATCATTAAATTAAGGGATCCTTAATGTTTCTGAATTTCAAAACTATAGGCTAATTATCGTCCGTATCCGCCATTTATTTGGTAAAACCATACAAGCGGGGGATTTACGGTGAACACGAAGAAAGCGCTCAAATGTTAAGATTGGCCACCTAATACTCATCTACTGATCAGGAAACAAGCGCTCAAATGCAAAGGTTGGCCATAGGATACTCATCTAGAAAGTTAGTCTGCATCAATTAGAGCGACAAACAAAAACCTTGCTGTCTGGGCTCCGACATTTGAATATTTTACAGTTTCAGTTGAATGAGTTTCGTTCAGTTAATTATTTCGTGTTTTCGGGCGTGAAAAAAAATTAATAAATACAAAATTATTAAATACAAAATTAATAAATACAAAATTAATAAATTACAAAATTAATGTCTAAATATTACAGAAATTACAGCAATAAAAAAAGCTCAACAATCGGTTGTTTTTAATCAAATGAATTTCTGTTTTACAAAGAGAATGCACTCAGTCCCAAAATAAAGAGGATATCCCATGCGTCAGTCCCTTTCGAGAACAAGAAGGAAGTTTTCAACATTCAAATATTTCTAGAAAGCACATTAGCGCGGAAGGTTGCTTTCAAATTAATGTATTTGACCTTGCTCCTAAAAGCAAGGTAATGAGTTTCGGTAATTGAATATTCATTTCAAGGTGTTCCAAGGAATGACAAACGAGCGTCTAGGTTGTTACTAAGATGTTGTTAAATCGTTTTCTTGTACATAACAGTGCCTATTTGTGAGGAGTTTCCGAGCACATATATGATTATAAGTAAATTGTTACTCTTTTATAATAAATTATGCTGAGAAATTTTGCAAATTATCTTCTTTTGCAGGCCTTTGCCACCAAAAATCGCCCATTTCTTAATTCATTAAAATTCACATTTTTAATTTCTGCCTAGCTTAAGTTTTTTTGAAACCAGTTTATTCCAATCGAAAATATGAGTTTATTCAGCTTATATCAGATCGGATCCTAACGCGAGAAGTAGCTTGTGGCTCCCAATTTTGAGTTCACTAATTAAGCAATTTTTATTCATTTATTTTCTTTGGATTTTAAAATAAATCATTCACTAGAATAATTCTTATTATTAATAAATGAGCATTAAAAAATGTATTGAAAAAATACACATCATTTGTTGTTTCATTTCGTAGTATACATATAATTATATTAAAAAATGCGAATAAGGTCCTATTTACATTGTACAAAATCATCGTGGGAGCGCCATATGTTTGTATACATCTGCGAAGGGAAAGAAGGGTGGGTGAGAACGGGGGGAAGAAGAAGAAGAGTGGGTTTGGGCATAAGGTCGCTAAACAGGTGAGGCCAGGCCAGGGGGCCAAATAATATTGATGTATTTCATTCCTTGTGACGATTGTGAAAAATAAATACCATCGGCACACGAGGTACAATTTTCTAATATATTAATCAACAGTCACTGAACGTATATGTTTCTACAATTATTACTTTTCTTGTTTTTTTGATTAGACGAAACATCAAGCACGGAAAGCTGTTCAGAGCTAAATATTACAATAACTGTTTGCAATTACGTTTAAATGCCATTTTTATTTTCTGTAATATTCTTGGCTAAAAAAGTGTTATTTTGAATCCATTAGCGAACGCGTTTCATTACGATGCCCTAAATAACTCCCAAATAGGTGTGACGTTCGAATATTAGCGCATCGTCATAGATAAATACATTAATCCATCTCTTTACACATTTCATTTCAACGCGAGTCAGTTCTGAAAGTAGTATAAACATTCCATTTGATCACGTACGATCTTTACATATATCAAACCAATATTAGCTCTGGACAATGTTTAAATGTTAATTACGGGGATGCAGAGAAAGCACATCTCCGTTATTTTTACGAGGCGGACGGGTGTATGTGGCGAGCAGCTGCGTCTTTCGGAGTTTGACATTCCACTCCCCCTTCAGTTGCTTCGCCGGAATTTTGAATTAGTAGCAGATGCTGCACGGAAACCTTATCGCCAGTTGTGACGTTGTGCAGGCGGCACTCTATTCATGAAATCCACTGAACGTGCTGACTCACCCATGAAATATCGCAACGAGCCTGCATCTACTTCCTTATCGATGTAACTCCCGTCTATTCTGGACTCTGTTGTCCACTTTAAGAAATTGGTTATCTTCTTAATAGAATTTCCTTCAGGTTTTAGGTTAAATACCGACATGAAATGTCCATTTTCGAGAAATAGTTTTTGTTCCTCAAACGGTGTGAGAAATAGTTGCATCTTCGTAAACGTTTGAAAGCAAGATATTATCATGTTTCAAAGTTATTTGTATGAGTAAAATAATTCTGTAATTTCTTCGAAATTCATGTTGTGATCGTGTAGTATGCGTAATCAGTATAAACCTTTTTGTCTGTTGTCTGTCAGTAACATTTTTGAGTGAAGTATGTAGTAACTTCAAAAATAGAACCCTGACGTCCGATATTTCTCTAATGAATTTCTTAACATAGATAATTAATGAGAGTAGTTTTTCCCTTCATTTCCTTCTCCTGGGGTGATGCAGTAATATAATACTAATAACCAATTTACCGTAAATGAACAATGAAGAAATAAAATAGCGTTATTCCATTTATGGTATTTCTGCTAAATATAAACTTAAATTTGGATCATAAAAATATGATGGCGCGTTTGATTAAAATATAATCTTGATATAATTTGAGAAACTGTCATGACGCACCTTCTTCTACGAAAAGAAAAATATCGCGTTCACATAATTAACGCGGACACGGAAATAATCTACACTATCTTATAATATTCTCTTATCATTTTTATAACCGTAAACTCCTGCTGGTTTACCTTATCTCGGCACTTCTCACTCCACCGCCGCCCATGCCTGTGTTTTTTTCACTACTATCCCCTCGACTCATGTTCTCTCCAAAACATACACACTCGCGCTCGCTCGCTCGCACACACATGTTCTTGAAAACTTACAGCATCTCCCCTGTCACTTGTGTGTCCTGCGTCAAAACGCCACTTAAAGTCGACCAGATCCCCGACGGGCAGCCCCAACGCCAACGGGGGCGGTGGCGCCAGATAAACGTGACGAGCGCTGGGGGGCGTGGCGGAGGGAGCGAGTGAGTCCGTGGCGAGGCGGAGGGCGGACCATAAGGACCAGGAGGGCGAGGAGGATAACAGCTGTGGGGGCGGGGAGGGGCGGAGGCAGAGCGGTAGGACAAGGGGCGGGTAGGTAGATGTCTGGGGGAGGGG